TTTGCCCCCAATCCCTTCCCCTGCATTTAAACCCTCTTCTCCTCCTTATGTAAACTTTGTTGTCATTCCTCTCCTCCTTTCTTTGCTTTCTTTTCTCTCTCCTCCCTCCCTGGTTTCCTTTCCCATTTGAACATTTTCTTCCATCTCACAATATCTATTATGCATTTTGGTCAACCATGTGATATTTGAATGTGTGTCCAATTTATTTCACTTAAGAGTATGGTCTAAAGGTGCGTCTATTTACCTAGAAATGTCTCATTTATCCTTCTTTACGTCTGAGTAGTACTCCATTGGACAATAGAACTAAATCTCACCCATTTATTAGTTGGTGGCATTTGGGCTGTTTCCAAGATTTGGTTATTACAACTGTGCTGCTATGAATATTGGCATGCTTATGTTGTTGTGGTATGATGCTTTTAATTCTTTGGAGAAGATACTAAAAAGGGGAACAGCTTGGTGGAAAGGAGCCTCTAATTCTACTTTTTTGAGGAATTGCCACACTGATTTCCACAATAGTTGCACCAGTCTATACTCCTACCAATAGTGGAATGGGTTTCCTTTTCCCCCACATCACTCAGCATTTTGTTATTGGCTGATTTATTAATGATAGTCATTCTTTGTGGGGTGAGAGGAAATTTCAGTGTTGTTCTAATTTGTGTCTCTCAAATAACCAGTGATGTTGAACATATTTTCACATATTTGTTTGCAATTTCTATTTCTTTGAGAAGTGTCCACTTACTTAAAATTTTGGATTGGGTCTTTAAATTGTGGGGGAGGGGTGTTGATTTTTTAAAAGCTTTTTATATATTCTAGATACTAGTCATTTGTGTAAAAACAGCTGAAAAAAATTTTTTTCTCACTCTGCAAGTTGTCTCTTCACACTCTTGGTTTCTTTTGCTGTGCAAGAGCTTTTTAATCAGATGAGATCCCAGTTGTTGATTCTTTGAGATATTCCCTGTGCCACCAGGGTTTTATTTATAAAGTCTTTGCCTACACTTATGTTCTTTTTAGGGGGGGTACCATGGATGAAACTCATGACTTTGTGCCTACCAGGCAGGCACTTATGCTGCTGAGCTATATTCCTGGCTCTTATACCTATGTTTTCAAGAATTCTACCTATTCTGTCTTCCAGGAGGTTTAGTGTTTCTGTGCTAATATTTAGATCTTTGATCCATCTCAATTTTAGTTTAGTGCATGGGGGACAGATATGGGTCTAGTTTTTCCCAGCAGCATTTATTAAAGAAGCTATCTTTCTTTCATTAAAATTGCTTGATCTCTTTATCAAAGATAAGGTGCTGAGTGTATTTGCAGTTGTGTCTTGTAGTCTGTTTCAGTGATCCTTGGTCTGGTTTTTTTGGTGTGTGTTTCAGTACCATGCTGGTTTTATCTGTGTAGCTCTGTACTATAATTTTAAGTCAAGATTGTAATACTCTTAGCCTTGCCTTTGTTGTTTGGAATTGCTTTTGCTACTCTAGGTCTATTCCAGTTCCAAGTGAATTTTAGAATTGTTTTCTCTAATTCTGTGAGATATTTTGACTGGAACTGCATTAAATCTATATAATAATTTTGGGATAATGGCCATTTTCAATATATTTGTTCTTCATACTCAAGAACAAGGCGTAGTTTTCCATTTTCTGCTATCCTCAATCTTCTCGAGGGTTAATTTTCAATGCAAAGTTCTTTTGCTTTGTTAGACTAAGTATTTCATTTTTTTAAATGCTATTGTGAAAGATGTGGTGTCCCAAATTTGTCTCTCAATGAGTTTGTATATAGTAATGCTGTTGATTTTTGCATGTTGACTTTGTATCTGGCTATCCTGCTGAATTTGGTTATTAAATCTAGAAGTTTTTTGGTTGAATTTTTGGGATCTTATATAAAGACTATCATGTCATTTGCAAATAAAGATAATGTAATTTCTTCCTTTTTAAAATCCTTATTCCTTTTCTTTTGTTTAATTGCTCTGGCTAATGTTTCCAGAACTATACTGAATGAGTGGTAATAGTGGGCTTCCTTGTCTTGTTCCTGACTTTTGAGTGAAAGCTTTTGGATTTTGACCATGTATTGTATCAGAGGTTGGTTTTTCATAGATGGCTTTTATCAGACTGAGATAAAGACCATCTTTCCAATTTTATGTAGAATTTTATCATGAATGGGTGTTAAGACTTTTCTGCGTGCTTTGAATCTATTGAGATAATGTTTTTGTCATTGACTCTATTAATATACTATATTGCATTTGTTGATTTTAATATATTCAACCATTCCTGCATCACCAGGCTGAATCCTACTTGGTCACAGTGTATAAACTTCTTGAGGATTTCCTGTATTCTGTTTGCTAATATTTTATTGAGAATTTTTGCATCTATCTTCATTAGAGAGTTTGGTCTATAGCTCTCTTTTTTAGCTTGGATCCTTCTCTGGTTTTGGTATCAGGGTAATACATGCTTCCAGGAATGACTCTGCGAATACTGTTTCCCTTTCAATTTCATTAATGAGTTTAGGGAGCAGTGGCATTAAATCTTTTCTAAATTTCTTAGCCAGGCATGGTGGCTCATACCTGTAATCCCAGCACTCGGGAGGCTGAGGTGGGGGGGATCCTTGTGAGTTCGAGATCAGCCTGGGCTACAAAGTGAGCTCAAGGCCAGCCTGAACTGCATAGCAAGACCTTGTCTCAGACAAAAAAAAAATCTTTTCTAAATTTCTTGCACAATTTAACAGCGAATCCATCAGGACCCAGGCTTTTCTTTACTGGAACATTTAAAAACTACATCTTCAGTTTTGTTGACTGATCTTGGGTTACTTAGAATTTGTAGTTCTTGACTCTGCTTTGGTAATTCATATGTATCTAGGAACTGTCCATGACTTCTGTGTTTTCCATCTTAAACACACGTTGAGTATATAGGTTCTTGAAGTTAAGTATTAATGATCTGGATTCCTGCAGGATCTGTTGTGACTTTACCCTTTTCCTTTTTGACTGCATGGATGTGAGTCTTTATTTCCCTTTTTCTGGTAAGTTTGACTAAGGGTTTTTCAGCTATTATTTCAAAGAACCAACCTTTCAATTCACTGATTCATTGTATTGTTTGGTTAGTCTCGGCTGCATTCATTTCTTCTCTAATCTTTATAATTTTCTTCCTTGTATGATGTTTGGGCTTTATTTGTTGTTCTTGTCTTAGAATCTTGAGGTTCAAATAATAGGTTATTATTTGAGCTCATTTTGTTTTTCTGATGTTGGAATTTCCCTCATAGGACGGATTTCATTGTGTCCCATAAGTTCTGGTATGCTGTACTGGTGTTACTAGTTGTCTAATTTCTTCTTTAATTTCATGTGTGACCCATTTGCTGTTCAGAAGGGTGTTTTCATTTCCATGTGTGTATGAAGTTTTTGTGATTTCTCTTGCCATTGACTTCCAATTTCATTGCAATATGATCTGATAACATAGATGAGGATAATTCTATTCCTTTGTTTAAGCATGTTTTGTGAGCTAGTATTAGCTCACAAAACATGCTTAAACAAAGGAATAGAATAGAATTATGTGGTCTATTTTAGAGAATATCCTGTGTGCCACCGAAAAGAATATATTCTTATGTAGATACCTACCAAGTCCATTTATTCAAAAATTTGGTTCAATTGTAGTTATGTCTACTGATTTTTTTGTCTAGTTGATCTAGTTGTAACAGTGGGGTATTGAGGTCCCCCATTACAATTGTATTACTGCTCATTTGATTTTTATGATTTTTTTTTTTTTTGGTACCAGGGATTGAACTCAGAACCTCACGGTTGCCAAGCAAACGCTTACGCCTCTGAGCTAAACCCCCGGCCCAGTTTTATGATTGTTAATATTTGTTTTACATAGTATCACATGCTGGTATTTGATAAATTTAATGTGTATTTGATAAATTTACATTTATGATTATCATCTCTCCCTCTTGGATTGTTTACTTAACAAAGATGTAGTTACCTTCTTTGTTTCTCTTGCTCAGTCTTGGCTTGAAATCTACCATGTCTGCAAATATTATAGCTATTCCTCCTATTTTCTGGCTTCTTGTTGCATGGAATACCAGTTTTCATCTTTTGACTTCCAGTCTACACATTAAAGTTAAATGTATGCAGCATATAGTTGGCTCTTTCTTCTTGATCCATTCTTCCAGTCTGTTTCTTTTGATTGGTGAATTGAGACTACTTACATTGATATGTACTGACTTACCCTTTTTGTTTTTCTTTTTCTAATTTTTATCAGTACCAGGGATTGAACTCACAACTGCCTGCCTTCAAGGCAGGCACTTATGCCACTGAGCTAAATCCCCAACTTATCTTTATTTTCTATTTTCCTGTTGTTGGTTCCCTTTTTTCCCGTTTAATTGCTTACCCTGTCTGCAATTCATTCGGTTGCAATTCATGGAGTGGTAGTATTTGTTATCTCTTTCTAGAATGTCCTTCAGAACATTTTGGGAGTGCTGGTTTGGTGGTTATGAATTTCTCCAGGTAATCTTTGTCATGGAAGTATCTTATTTCTTCATCAATTGTGAAAGATAGTTATGTATGATACATCAATCTGTGTTGAAAGTTGTTTTCTTTCAAGGCTTGAAATACTTACTCCAAACTCTCCTTCACTTAAGGGTTTGCACTGAGAAGTCTGCTGTAATTCTGATGGGCTTTCGTCTATAGGTGATTTATTTCTCTAATAGCTTTCTTTCTTTTTTCTTTTGTTTTCCTTTCTTTTTTGATACCAGGAATGAACTCTTGGTCTCACACTTGCCAGCAAGCACTATGCTGCTGAGCTACATCCCAGCCCTTTAACAGCTTTTTTTCTTTGTACTGGAGATCAAACTCATGACCTCACACATGCCAAGCAGGTGCTTGTTCTGCTGAGCTAAATCTCCAGCCCACTAACAGCTTTTAATATTCTGTTCTTGCGATGAATTTCTTGAATCTTGACTATTATAGAAAATTATTTTTTTAGAAATATTTTAGGAAGATATATAGAACAAAGGACCTAGAATAAAGAAAGAATGCTTCTTTTATAGCAAGATACACTTCTGGCCTAAAATCACACATCTTTTGGTATTTGAGGACCAAATTAGAAACAAAAAATGGAAGATCAAGAACACAGTGTGTGGCCTACTTATCAGCAAAGAGAAAATCAAATTTTCCAAAGATTAGGGATACTGTTGTTTCTCAAGAAAAATATTCTTTTTGGCCACAGTTCTTATGGTCAACTAAGCTGAACTTATATCAATATACTGAGTTCTAATGCAAACAAGAGAATCTTATTTGTTACACAGCATCATCAAGTATGGTCCTTAAAAAATATAAAAAATATTCTAACATTATAGATTCTAGAATAAATATATTTAAAAACTAAAACAAGAAAGTATCATAAATGCTAAATCTGCTATTTAAACTTTTGACTCTCCTAATTAGAACAGAACATATATATCTTTTATTTCAACTTCAAATAAAATAAAGCGTAAAATATCTGAGGAAGGAAAAATAGCAAAATATATACAATTCTGTGTCTTAAAATTAAGCTTTAGCCTTCTGGTGTTTTCATTTATTCTTGCCAAGTATAGTTTTCTATTTCTGATGTTTCTTGGAGATAAGTCCTTACAAAGTAGCATATAATGCCACATAGTAAGAAATTATAAACACAGAATAAAAACTTTCCCTAAAGATAGAAAATACTGTGGTTGAAATGACCAAGATCTAATCAATAATTCCTAGCACTGAAATAGTGGGAAAGTGTTATAAATGTCTAAGAGTACTAATAGGAACTTTATATATTAGGTTTTGGATATCTAGGTAAAGCTTTAAAAAACATCCAAAAATATAACTCAGAAGTATCTATCTACAGTTGATATTCTCATAGATTTTAATACTATGCTTTTATTTTATTATAGTTGGGCACTGTTTTAAAGGATTCCCTTCAATTTGGATAGCTGATAAAATTCATTATTATTTTTGAAAATAGAAATTATATGTCTTCTAATAGAATATCAAGTTGTTTCTTCAGCAAACAAATGTGTAAAGTCAAGATGGATTTAATTTGTGCCACTTGGTAACAACCTTTTCTGGATTTGTAATTGTCTCTTTCCATTGGTTCACTGCTTCAATGCTATTACTGTCTTCACTTATCCAAACCTGTAAAGGAACAATATAATCATTTAACTTGATACAATAATGATAAGTCAGCTTAAATACTTAATTACTCTTACTGATGAAAGACGTTTGGAAGTTTGATATATGTAGCTCCAAGTAAATATTTTCCTACTTTACCAAAAGTTAGGGTAATTGCTTTAATGTTTAAATATTAAAACATTTAACCTGTTTAGTTATTCCAAAGGCTCTTTTATACAATTTCATTCAGTTAAGAAAATTCCAGGTGGAATATTACAAAATCATTTTCCCTGAAACAATGAGTCTTTTTTATGCTACATAGGAGATGAATTTAAAATTGATCTGGACTACTCAAAGCGTTTCTGTAGAGATGAAACTAGGTTAATGATTTAAATTAGTAAAGATGCATTTTATGCACATGTTACATTAAATATAACTGTAGTCTTAACTAAAATTTAATAAATAGACATTCATTATTCATGATAATTTTATACTAACTATTTCATGTGTAACTTTAGATAATGTAGTGAATGAATTTGGGAAAATTATATAGTATTATGCATGGTTACATATCATAATGGCCACATGTCAAAAAGACAAGATTGATAAGGAATCAAAAAATCTGAATTGTCATCTTAGGTCTAGTACCAACATACGCTATTATGTTGGCATTAAATTCTCTGGAGACTCAGTTTCTAATTTTTTAAAGTAAAAGAATCATAGTAGGTCTTTGGTTTTTAAACTTTTTTCTTTTCATTCCTGCTGTGAAAGACTCTCCTTCAAACCATGTCTTACAAAGAACCCCAATATATGAAACAGTAACATTAGAGTGCTTTGGTTGACAAAGGCATGGGAGAACTTGAGTTCTCCTGTGGTTATGCCATCAAGGTAACACCAAAGGCTATAAGAGAAGTTATGGGGTGCAGATAACCAGCAAGAACCTTTCCAGAATTGTTAGCCTAAAAAATCATCTTTTAAGTAAATTTCTTGTTCCATTCATATATGATTGCTGAAGTTTGATGATATAGAAAAACTTTAACTGAATTGACTTCCTAAGTTCCTGGTTATGAAAAGAATTCTAATTACATGAAATTCTTGAATTCAAACTTTTCTAAATAAGAATAAATGCAGAAACAAAACTATAATATTTTAAAATAATAATTTAGGTAAACTATATGATAAGTAAATCTAAGAGTTGATATCGATTTTGAAAATTCATATATATATATATATATATAATTTGAGTATTTTTGTAAACTTAATATAATATTGTCAAATGGAAGTTTATAAACCAATAGTGTATGTTTCAGAAAATAATCAAACCACTTTAATTAAGATAAAAACTTAATGGACATCTGCTACTAATGTACTAAGAATAAAGAAAAAATAAAAAAAGGAAACAAGTTTCTGTAGGATTGGCAAGTAAATCTGTGTTATGCTGCATTATATAAATTAATAATAATTTTTAAATAGATCAACTAAAATATCAGAATTGATTATAATATCTCAACCACCATAAAAATTTATCTTCTAGAAATTCAAATCTAACATAACTTAGTTAATGGTATATAGACATGTTGACATTAAACATTAAATTGAAGGTGAAACAAACTAAATTTAATGGCCAAAACCTTACAAAAATTTTACTTGAATACTAAATGTTCTACCTTTCCAAAAGGGAATCAGTAGTACTAAAAAACTAATCTTAGTTTTCAAAGTTGATAAGCCTAGAAAATAGCTTAATATAAGTCTGATCACTCAGAAATTCCATCTCCTTGTATCAAAAAAATCTAACAAGTTGATTTTTGTGCAACACATTTCATCTACGCTGAAGAATCTTATGCCACTCAACTTCTTTTATCCTGTATTGACTTTGTTAACCAACTGCTTAAATGCATAGAATAATGCAAGAGGAAATTCAAGATAAAATCTCCTACTAACCTGGCCCACAAAGTGTTTTCTTCTGACAGAGCTTCGACTATAAAGTTTAAAGAGAAAAACAATGTCTCTTTCATTCTGTGTAAGTGGAAAAATCATAGTCTCTCCCCACTTTACTCTTCCATTGGAGGCCTTCAATAAGCGTGTCTTCTTTTTATAAATCAATTCTCCTGAGCTAAACATTCCCACCTTCACAAAAAAACCTATGAGACAAGAAATTCCGATTTTTAAAATTTTATTTAAAATATGACATAAAGGTATATATCTACATATTACATTTTGGGTAAAAATACAAATAGGCCTTTTTAAAGGTTTGAAGAGCCATTGTTTGATACCCGGAAACATCACTAGTCAACTTTGTAACTTTTGCTACACTTTGCAGGAACTACTATAGCCTCAAAAGAACTTAATCTTTCTGTGGTTTGAATGACATGGAATTGTGGGCATAAATAACATTTGCAAGCAAAGAAATACATGTTCAAAAGGATTATACAAGAGTGCTGTCAACTCCCTGGAATCTGAAAGTATTTATTTCAAAATTTTATATTTGAAAAATTATCTGAGACTTCAGTTAAGTATGCATCCATTAGGAAAAAAAAAAAAAGCTATTCTTTAAGTTTGACATGTAGAGCTTCCAAAAATAGTACAAGATTTTGTATGAACTAGCCTTCCTGTAAAACAATTATAAACATTGGGAAAATATATCAAAGGTGGACCAAAGTCAGGAAACAAGTAAAGGGGAGTCAATTCTTAAAAGATAGAAACTGCAACGAGGATAATTCATATTGCTGTATCTTCTAGTGTGAGCTGGGGGTGCTGTTCAGTGGTACAGTGCTTGCTCAGCACACACAAACCAACAAAAGCAGCCTTGATTCACTATGTAGTACTGCACAAAGGGGGAGATTTTATAGCCTTCCTGGTCTGCCTGACACATGAACCCTACATGTCAAACAGAAAGTGCAGTCTAATATTTTGGATTTTTTACATTTACCCTAAGTAAGTGGTATCAGTCTATAGTTACTTTTTTGGTGTGATGGTCATTCTATTTTGATTTTAAAAATATGCTAATCTCACAAAATTATGCTTTTCATGTTTTTAGCATACTGCTTGAGTATTATATATTCTCAAGAGTTTGGTAGAACCTGCCAGTAAAATTTTCTTGTGCTTTATATTAAAGATAGTTTGTTAACTATCTTTTCATGGTATTCTTTTCAAACTTCTTCATCTTGAGTTAATTTCTTAGAAAATCATTTATTTTATATGGATATATAAATGATTTAGTAGAATTACTAAATGACAATGAGATTGCCATTTATTATCATTTATTATCAAATGTCTTCTAAATTTCAAATTATATCCTCTTGTTTGTTTACAATATCATTCATTTTTTTCCATTACTTTTTGTTTCACACAACCAGCTAGATTTAGCTAATAATTCTTTCAAAGAAAAAGCTTTTGGTTTTACTGTTTATTTGTTGTCTCCATATTTATTAAGTTCAACATCATCTTTAATCCCTTATTTCTACATTTCTGTGCTTTTCTAGTTTCTTGAATTGAATTTTCAGTTTCATTTGTTTTTAGTCTTTCTAGCTATGATAGTCATCCACTGCTTTTGCCTGATCCAGATAGTTCCCTTCCTTTGGTAGGAAAAAAAAAAAGAGGACTCTTATCCTCTTCTTATCCCTTGAGGTAGGGCTGATCTGAGACCTCCAAATATAGGGTAGTCAAGTGAACCAGGTCTAGTAAATCAAAGTTTTATAAGACCTGATGGTGTATCCAGCAAAGATTTTAATCCACTGATCTCTTGATGCTTATCTATTTGTAAATTCTCGCTGCATTTGATGTACTTTGAGCTACTGATATACTTACTTAGAGTCAGAGGTGTTGAGCTTGGAAGATATTGTGCCTCAAGAATTTGCAGCTGAATCCTGCTATTTACTGCTTGAAAACAAGTCCCCAGTTCAAGTTCTGCATGGCAAACCTACATATCCAAAAATACCACTAAGTAATTAATAATAAACTTTAAGGATAGTTAAAAAATTCAAATATAAGGAGCTATAGTTAGAACATTTGAAAGCATTATTTTCTATTGATATCCAAAGCGCTGTTATAAAACAAGGTTATGAAGATAAAGGTCATGTACTCTGTAAAGTGAAGATATTAACTTGATGAATTCTTTGAAAACACAAATTATATCTACATACTGAACTTTAAAATGAGTAACAAAAGATAATTCAACTTAAAAACAAATTAAATTTGGAAGCAGTATTAATGGTGAAACTGCCAGTGAAATTAAAAAAACAAGAAATATACTGTACTTTTAAAAGAATTAAGACTATATGAAATATGATTTAAAAGTACCTATGAGATTTTTTCTAATTTTAGAAATCAGAGTAGGTACTACAAAAATTAGAAGATAAAGAATTTCTAAAATAAACAGATTTATGAATTAAGAGTTGAATTACTACTTTGAATGGAAGCAGGCCAAAGAAAGCTGGCAGGGAGGAAGTGAGTCAAAGTGTCGAGGCAGTAAATAACAAGGAAAAGGTCAAAGAAAATCTGAGGTAAACAGTAAAATGAAGGAGATTTAGAGTAGGAGAAAAATTAAAATGTGGTCTTTGGTATTACTGGTCATTAGCAAAAGACAGTAGGTAAATTTGTCTGTGACTTGCAGCACAAGACATTCTATTATGTGAATTTCAAGATTCTCAGAGTAAAATATAAAAGAAACACAAAGCTGTCCAAACACAAAGACATTACTGTTCATATACTGTAAAGAATAAGAATAAGGAAAGAATATAACATTTACATATTTTACCAAGACAGCATTCAGACATAAAAGTCTTTCCTAGAACTGATTCCAGTGTTATAGAATAGCTAAATAAGAGAACACTTTATGAAGAGGTTTATACATTTGATAATTATCCAGTATTTCTTAATAACTGGTTCAGGGGAAAATTCTTCTATGTACATGCCATTGACTGAAGTTTAGGCATTTTCTTTGTTTTGGTTTTTTTAAGACAAGGTCTCACTGTGTTGTTTAGGCTGGCCTCAAACTTACAGCAATCCTCCTAGCTCAGCATCCTGCATGTAGGCATTTTCTTAAAACATGATTCTGTATTTTAAAATTGTTGTGCCACAAGAAAGTAAAAGATAGATAATGAAAAGTGAATTGCAGAAAAAATTTACAGTTAACTGTTGAGGTTAATTTTCTCTTAAAAAGTCTAAAATGATGAAATTTGTTTATTTTGGCAATAAATGCCAACTTCTAGTAAAGAAGTAAATTTAATGTTTTTGATGTTTAATTTAATGAATGTGTATTATTCTTTTCACATGAATTATTTATACTGCCATATATATTGACTGATTAGAACCTATATTTCACACTTAAGTTGATATGTTTTTTAAAAATGCAGCTACTTGTTTACAAAACAAAAAGGAAGCATGATTCAGATATTTCATTAATTCTTTTTTCATTATGGTTTTGTACCCAGGGTTAAATAACACGGAAACATCTAAAGGTGGTAAAATATGTCTTTTTACATAATTGTTACATATGTCTTGTTACATAATCTCCCACTTCCACAGTTATTTCACAAACTAAATTTATGTTCCATGATGTTAGTTCAATTAACCCAGATTATAAAAATTTCAATCAACTAGCAAGTATGTACTGACTACACACATGTGCATGCACACACACACACACAACATGCAACACATTTACTTTTTTGTGGCACTGGGTATTGATCCTGGGGCTTTCACATTGACCTACATCACCAGCCTTTTAAAAACTCTTTGATTTTGGGGAAGGGTCTTACTAAGTTGCAAACCTTCAATCTTCCTATCTCAACTTCCCTGAATGATGCATTGACTCTATGTATGAGAACAAAACTATGGAAGAAAGTAGGTATGATATCTGCTGTTGAGTGATATATTATTGAAAAAAAAAACCCTTTGTTAGCCTTCCTGGAATTATTGAAAATGAAATGCTAAGCTAATTACAGCAAACCACAATCTGGAGAGCAATACACAGAAGGGTTCAGAGCCAATTGCCTGAACCCTTCCATGGTAAATCCAGATGCCTGAACAACTAACTATCTGTATGAAATCAGGCAAGCACTTCACAGTCTGATATCCACATTAAGGATAATTCAAACACAGTCTTGTAAGTGCGGTATAAACATTAGATCATTTAGCAATAAACCAGCCATAAGCTAAACCTTTATGAAGGCCAGCTATTTCTTCAGACAAACTGTCTCTAAGATTTTAAACAAATGCTTATGTTACTATTGGTCAAGATCAAGAACTCTATTGAGAAAAGTATTAGCTCTATGTGAAAGCTGTGCTATTCATCATAAAATAGTCATTTTGGATGTTTATAGGAGCCTGGCTCTTTCATTGTCACAATTAAAACCTGTGAAAGAAAGCACAATATTAGCCAAAGATATAAAACAGCAAAATATAAGACAAAAATAATAACATAAATATAATGGTCCAGATACCTTTTCTTTCAGGGTATCAATTGTATCCCTAGCACTTGGCACATAGCAGATATACAGGTGCTTATGAGACTTTTGACTTTCAAATTACATATGAAATGTCATTTAGTAGAAATCTTGCTATAATCATTAATTCAAATTCTCCAAAGCAGATATGATGATAATGTCTCAATTCACCAGAAGATACCTGCATTGAGTTGTCTTCTGAAGGACTCAAGAGCTTTAACAAATGAACTGTCCATTTGACTAATGTTCTTATGTGTCCCAAAAAAATATGGTTTCAGATTACTGTCTACTAAGCTAGTGTCAGTGTCAGTGACAAATTCCTCTCATACTTGCTATATTTTAACAGAAAAATAACAAAAATATAATTTGACATGCTTTCATATCTATATGCAAATCTTCAGTTATGAAAGTCATGTGAGGTCTTTAGTAACAACATAGTAAAACATGAGGAAAACAGACGAAAGTTTGTTTTGTTTTCTTTACAACTAGTAATTTAAATAATTATATATTATACTAAATGCCATAAACAAAGCACAATGGGGATCGAGATTGAGAAAATAGGCAAGAAATAGCAAGCAAATTCAAGACAGGCTACACACTAGAATAATTTGGGGAACTACAAATGTGTCTCGCCCAACCCCTAGTAAATGATTTTACTGGTTTAGATGAGGGCATTAAAAAAAAAAGTTCCTAGGTGATTCTAACCTGCAGCTAAGGTTAAGTAGCACTTCAAATCATTTTAGATACTTTTAGAAACAGATAAAGTATAAATTTTATATAAATTTAATTTCACACACTGGTTTGACATTATAAAACTTCTGACAATTATATTAATGTTATCCTGACACAAAAACTACATAATTAAATTATCAGGAATTCCTAAGCACTTTAAAGTCAGTGTCTAGCTGGCTTGTTGAGAGACGCAAATACCAGGACTCAAAAACTAATCAAGCACTAGAGGTATTCAATCTTTTAACTTTTCTAGGGTACATTTTGAAGGAAGAGGAATTGTCTTTTTTTCCTCTATCTTATTTTATTTTAAAGAGAAAAAATTAAAAGAGTAATTGTCTTGAACTACACAGAAAATATATAACAGTTCATGCTTATAGATAATAAAAACTTCCTTTTTAAAAATATATTTTACTGTAATAGTTTTAAAAAATGGGTTGGGGAGTCAAGCAGACTTCAAAGTGACACATTCCAATGAGGCCTTAATTCATATGTTTTTCTGCTGATGGCTTAGCACCACTGGTGGCACTGTATGACTGTCTCATGTAGCACCACACCTGATGGGACAGTTGAGCATGTATTTACCACCAGTAGTATAAGCCACCCAACAAGACGGTCATGCATCTGTTACCAGTGGTTCAAGCTGGTAGGAATATGTTAAACGTGCTTGTGGTTGGCTTTTTACCAAAAAAAACCAAACAAACCTCCAAAAAACAAAAACAAAAATCCATAAAACCCCAAAACACAACTTGTATTCTGGGCTGAGGATATAGCTAAGCAGTAGATGAGCTTGACAGGTTTGGTGTTCTGGGCTCAATTTTCAGTGCCTTGCCCACCCCAGTAGAACAGAACAGAAAAAAACAAAACAAAACAAAACAAAACTCCCTTTCATTCTAGCCAATTTGTGAACAGATCTTATTCATGATCAAAGTAACTTTCTCTTTGTGGTACTGGGGACTAAACTCAGGCTTCACATGGTTACTCCCCAAGTGATTCCCCTCTTTAATTTTACTTATTAAGCTATTAAGTATCATATTAAGCTACTAAGTTGCTCAGCTGGGCTCAAACTTGTGATTCTCCTGTCTCAGCTTCTCAGAGGCTGGCATTACAGGTGTGTGATACCACACCTGACTTCAAAATACCTTTCTTCATCTATTTAAGAGCAACCTCAGACTGAATTTGGAGTTTATGATTCTTGTCTTTCCTAAATCATTAGCCATTAAAAAGTTAATCATTTAAAGTTATTCATAGTTCAGTTATTGCCCCTGAAATATAAGAGACCAGTAAAAATTACAACAGGTAACTCAAGGTTATTTTCCAATGGAGAAAGGAAAATGGTTATGTTAACCTCTGTCAATTATTTCTGCCAGGCATGGTGGTACGGTGGTGCATACCTGTAGTCCCAGCACTTGAGAGGGAGGCTGAGGCAAGAGGATCACCATGAATTTGAAGCAGCCTGGACTACAAAGTACAATGATGGCAAACCTTTTTAGAACTTTCAATGATAACAAGAAGCCTACTGCAGCATATGTACCATAGTTTTGCCATTAGTGAGTAAGCTCAAGGTCAGCCTTAACTATATAGCAAGATCTTGTTACAAAACAAAACAAATTAAAGCAGAACAACAATCTATTTCTAAAATAGTATTTTTAAATGATAATAATGTTTTTCTGAGAGTCTTGTTTTCAAATTATTCTCCAACAAACAAAAACCAGTCTATGAAACATATCATACCATTATCACTTACAGAAATTTTTGAAGGTGGTATTATATCCAAAGAGTAATCCATTTCTTGTGTGCTAAGTGTTCTGAGTGACAGAGAGCACTCTCCAATAGTTTTCTTCTTGGGAGTCTGGGTTTGAATCTTAAATACAAGCCTCACAGTTTGTAGATGTTGTAGTTTAATAGCAAATACAAAAGTTTCCATAAAATCAATAGCCTTAAAAATGTAAGAATATACAAAATATATAAATAAGAGGACTGAAAAGAAAGGTTGGCATGTCATTCAAATATTTTAGCTTGCATCTAGGAAAGATTGTTTTATACAACAAAAATATTTTTAATGTAAATGAAAACGAGAAGGGCCATAACTTGTTTTTCTGGTTTATCTTGAATATTACTTTCCTTAACTTTATAAATACTGTTTTTAATAACTTAGGAATTTTCAGTTCAATATCAACATTAAGCTCACTAGAATACAGCTTTTTTCCTTTTCAAAAATTGTAAGTGTTACATGTTTGGTTCTAAAGTATCTTTTCTGCCCTTTACCTTATTCTCCAATAGTTGAGGGTAGTTTAAGAATCTCTTATGAGAGCACATAATACCTACATTTTAACTTTTCACAGAGAGCACAATCATCTCTTTAACAGTGACCAGACTGTTCTCTACTATTGATACTTCTCTCTTACCATGTTTAGCACATCCTTTGGAAAGGTAAGACATCTGTGCAACTAACATTTTGAATATTGTGCCCCAAATTTTACTATTATATATAATCACTTATATCTGTAGAATCAGAACTGTGTTTCTAAGACTCTCCCAACCACTGAGAGATCTTTCAAGACACCCAAGCCATCAGATTACACCAATAATATATTACACATGAAATGTTTAACAAGTTTACAGATTAAGCAAGTATATCATTTACTTATGTTTTCCACATTTTGCCACAATAGGGATCTCTCATACAATCTGATATATAAAAATAAATTTTAAGAACAAAAGACTTCACACAGCTTTTAATATATGAACACTTCCCCTAGTTTTTCCTAAGTTAACTTAGTTATACCTGAAGACCAAAAATTAAATTGTTTAATTCAGAAAGCATTCATCTTGAGTGTTAGGATTATAAACAGAGTTAAGATTTATTTCCATATAGACTTTCTTAATTTTATTTATTAGTACATGTTCACATTACACGATGATTATATTTATTGTGAGGAGTTGGTACTTGTACACATACATATTAATTCTTCTTCTTTGTTAATCCCCTACCCCTTCTTCCCCTCTGCAATTTTTGTTCTCCTTCCTATTTGCAAAAATATTTTCATATTTTCACAAAGTGAGATCCTGATGTATATGCACACATATTCACATACTTTTGATTACTCTTTATTCCACTTATTAAGAATACTTTATCCACACCCTTAAAAATTCTTCCTAAGCATTGTTTTTCATAGTTACCTAGTACCCTATCACATATTATTATGGACTGAATTGTATTATCAAAAAAGACATGTTGAAATTCTAATTCTAGTATTTTAGAATGGTATCTCACTAGCAAACAAGGTCATTGAAGACATGATTAGCCAAATTAAAAAGGAGTATGGTACACCTGCTCCAGTATGACCTGTATATTTGTAGGAAGGTGGTCATGTGAAAACACAAAGAAGCAGTAAGATGGAAGCGGAGACTAGAGTTAGCATCTATGAGCCAAAGAACAAGGAAATGCCAAGGAGGACAGGCTCTCACAGAATCTGGGAGAGAGGTGTGGAATAGTTTTTTCTTTGGAAAAGGAATCAACATTGCTAAAATCTTGATTTTCATTGCCTCTAAAACTATGAGAAATTTCTGGGGTTTTTTTTTTTTTTTGGTTTTCTCTTGTTTGTCTGCTATGCCAGAGAAGGATTCCATGGTCTTACACAGAGTAGGGAAGCACTGTACAATATACCCAGTTCAAAATTTCTACTCTTTTAACTGCATGATCTGGTTTATTGAGATTTGTTAAAGTAGCCTAGGAAATTAGCGTACAGGGACACACCATCAGGTTTCTCAATCATTTCTCTGAACAAGTCACTTAGATTGTCTTCAACTTTTTCACTATGACTAAAACTAAACAGAATATTTTACATATTTTTTGTTTGCATTTTAGATTATTTCACAGAACATATTCCTAGAATATACTGAATAGTATAAATATTTTAAGATTTTGATGTATACTGTCAAAATAATTTCCAGAAAGTTTATGTTCTAAAGTACTAGTAAAATATTTCCTCTTTTTTTTTTGTCTTTGTCTTTTTGAGAGAGGGTTTCACTATGCAGTTCACGCTGGCCTTGAACTCACTGTCTAGCCCAGACTGGTCTCAAACTCACAGCAATCTTCCTGACTCAGCCACCTGAGTGCTAAGAACATAGAAATGTACCATCATATCCAGCCTTCCTAATTCTAATAAGCAAAAAAAGGAAATAGCAACACTGAATGTATATAACTGAAATTGTATTAGCAACACTGAAAGTATATAACTCAAATTGTATTAGCAACACTGAATGTATATAACTGAAATTGAAATGTAACTGAAATTTGTATTTCTATGAGTACCAGTGAGAATAAATAATTTCATGTTTATTAATTTGAATTACCTTATATTTAAATGACACGTCCTTTTAGAACATAATTTTTCATTTGCAAAGAAAAAAAACCTAATTTTTAACCATCTCAAAAGATAATCTGAGAGGAGAAACAAGAGGCCACCCCACTCCCTCTCGTGAGCTAGCAGCAGTTGTGGGTCTGAAGGAGAATCAAGAAGGCAACTTGTACCCTCTAGTGAGCCTACAGCAGCTGTATGCATTGGAAGGAGAACCAAGAAGCCAACCCATGTTCTACTGTGAGCCAGGAGCAGCCATGTGGGCTGGGGGGACAACCAAGAAACTAACCTGAACCTTCCCTTGAGCCAGTGATAGCCATATGGACCAGGAGAAGAAGGAAGAAGCCAACCCGTGCCCTCTGTAGCCCAGCTGGTATGTGGGCTGGGAGACAAGAAGAGCACCTATCCCTCACCACCCCACCAGCATAAGCAATTCAGAATAACACAGGCTGAGGTGATAGCAACTGAAGTAGAAAAAAGAAAAAAACAACTTAATGCTTATGTTGTTTGACTGACTTTGCTGGCCTAAAGTTGATAGTCTGAGCAGATATTTGCAGGATAATAATATGCAATATGGGGGATTTCCTTCTGTCTTGTTTTTGAATGCCAATATTGTTTTCATGGTTTTTTTTGCTATTTTTTATTGATTTCTTTTATTTCTTTTAAAATAAAAAAGATAATATGAACATATATTTAAATTAATGTGAAAATAAAAGTCCATAAAATTAAATTCAGTATCAGAAGTCCTTTAGGTACTTGTAAGAAATTTATTACAAACATGCAATTATTTTTCAAAGCCAAAGTGGACTGGGGCAAAAAAGATGAAAATATACACATTTATTTTCCTTGCACACAAGAAAAACAAGTAATTTTCCTAGATATTGTTAATTGTCTATGTAATTTAGTGATTAGGATTTTATTTTTAAATGTCTCTTTATATTGGAAAATGAAATACCAAATTTCTTGAAATTCAAAATTAAATTTTGAAATTCAAATTTAAAGATTTAAAAAGCAAGAGTACATAACTTTTAGTTTGCCCAAAATAGAACTTTCTTATTCTCATTCTTTACATGGATAAAAGTGACAAATATGAAAAAAACCAGAAAAGAAATTCAAACACAAATAGCCACTTACACTGGAACCTTCCTTGGCTGAAGATTTGAAATGTACTGGTTTGGGTAATGTTAGTATTCCTTTTATATAAACAGTGGGTGTGTCTCCATAACTAGAAGGCCAACTTAAATCTCTGCACTAAAAAAGATTAAAAAGCATAGTTTGAGCTTTACAAATGATGCTGAACAAATATTTTATATTTGATATAATGACTTTACATAAAAAATTTAAACTTTAGTATATAAGACCATGTTTCATTCACATTAAAGATTCTAGATGTCATATCAATTTCTTATTTATTTATTTATTTACTTACTTTTCTAGGTTTTTGAGACAGAGTCTCACTATGTATGAACTACATGGCCTTGAACTCACTATGTAGCTCAGACTGGCCTTGAACTCTTGGTGTTCCTCCTGCCTCAGCCTCCTGGGTGCTGGGTTTACAGATATGTGTCACCATGTCCAGCTAATTACTTTAAGATTAAAAATATGCATATTTCCAGCATACTACAGATTTTTTTCTTTGTTTAGTACTGGGGATTGAACCCAGAGCACCTTACATAGGCAAGGCAAGTGTTGTACCACTGAGTTACATTCCAACCCTTGTTATTTTATTTATTGAGATAAGGTTTCACTAAATTGTTCAGGCTGGCCTACAATTTGTGATCCTTTATCTCAGTCTCCCAAATAGCTGGAGTTACACGAGTATACCACCATGCCTAGATGTGTGTTCTTAAATATTTTATTAAATACTATTTTCTTCAAAATACTATAGTATACTAAATTCAGGAAAGGGCAATAGTATATACTTAATACATCTAAATATTCAATTTTGTGATAAGTATTAACTACACTAATTTACCTGTAAAATTGTGATCCAGATCTGCTCCACTGAAGAATTATAAAACAATTTCACATTCAGTCTCCCATAATCTCTTTCATCTCCTGATAGAGTAATTGTATCTGAATTGTAGAAGGATAAAAATGTTTAAAATTCTATGTAATGTTTCTAATCCAATTAAGCTTTGACACAATCAAATTTTAAAAGCATAATTCAAAAATACTATAATTCTTTCTTTACACAGGGTCTCATTTTGCAGTTTAGGCTAGCCTGAACTCACCATGTAGCCCAGGCTGGCCTTGAACTCATGGTGATCCTCCTGCCTCAGCCTCCTGAGTGGTGGGATTATAGGTATGAGCCCCATTGCCAGCCTATATTTAATTCTTGAAGTTCTCAATTTAGTAAGACAAAAATAACATTTCTATTTTTTATTGAAATATTGGAATAAAAGTATACTATAGAAAGCACATGGCTAAAAACCAAATTGTAGTGAGAGGGGTTGGACTCTGAAAAAACTTCCCAAATAATATTGATAAAGTTTGGTACTGAATGCTTCTAAAGATCCTTCATTCATTTATTTGAAAAGAAACAAAAATACTGAATAGCATCAGTTTTTAAAATCCATTAATGCCTAAACACTGAGAAATGGACTTTCTTATTTGAGTATTCATATGCTAATAATACTACCAAAACAGACATAGAATTTTAGTAAGGCAGAATTTTAAAAATCTACTCATACACATTTCCAAACTACTAATGAACTAAATAATTTCCTTAAGATTATAAAATACTATACTTTATTCCTTACCTAGGCTTCTGTTACTCCCCTGAGAATTTTTTCTTGAAGAAGAACTGCTGGGTACACTGGACCATGAATCATGTCTCTATAAATAAAATTTTTCTTTAGTCAGAAATTCCATATAAAATCTAAAGGATTTTGATATTTATATCATAAAGCCCATTTCAGTATCAAACTGCATACCAACCATTTTGACAGTGTTATTAATCAGAACTCCCCACTTTTAGATAAGAAATAGGAGGGGGGAAGTTGTCTTTGTATGTTACTAGAAAATCTTAAATATCTTACTAAATAATATATTGGAAAGGCATTGCTGTTTTGAGGTTTGGTTTTATAAAAAGGAGATCATTTCTTAACTTTCATAGTTAAAAACATTAATGAAAAACATATTTGGATGTTCTCAGTTACCCAAAGACAGCATTATAAAAACATGGTCCTTCAGAGAGCAATGTCAGCAACCCTGGGGAACTTGGTAGAAATAAAAATTCTGGCTCCACAAGAACTTTGGGGTCAAGGCTTGGAAATCATATTTTAACAAGTTCTCCAAACATTTCTGACACATATTAATAATTGTTACTATAAAGAATTAAGTCTGCAAAAAATTTACTTGACTGAGAACTATGTATATATATTCACAGGGAAAGAAGTTCACAAGTATATTTAAAAACACTTTCATAGTGCTTTTACTCTCACATATAGGAATAGAAACGATTTATCATTTTATGTTGCTTATCTCAATCTCCCAATTTTAAAGTCACAAAATGAAAGATTTTTAAAGTATCAAAAAATTCTCAACAGCACAACATATTAATATCAATGAATAATTAGAGTGCTACATCTCAAGAGAAATACTAATTTTTAATAACCAGTTTGTTATGTTTAATAAAGTTAAATTAAGCTTTCAACTACTATATAATACTATTTTAAATTCCAATTGCTTCAAGATTCCTTAAGTGCATACCAACTCTCATATAAAAATCATGAAAAACAAAAAGGAAATACTGCCTTTTATTGATCAACTGAAATCTTCCTAAAAATAATGCATATAGGCAATGGTAAGTATTGTTCAGGTATTAGAATAGGTATCTATACATCTACAAAAATATACACCATGGTATTCCTAAGGTAATCCACACATTCCTGATGCTTTAATTTGAAAAAAAAATACTATCTCATCTAATTAAATTTATATAATTACCTGGATGAATCGCTGAGATGAACTCGTAAGATCAAACATAGACTTGCTCAGTCCAGGGGAACCAGGTAGTTTGCTGGTCCTTAAATCACAAACTACAAAGGGACAAGAAAAAAAGTACTTATTATAGTAAAGAAAACACTGGAATCCTACTCATTTATCATATCTTAAATCTCTACAGTAATACATCACAAACATTATGTGTGAATCTACACAAGAAAATAGTTCCTGGTCTAAAGCATTTATTTGTCAGTTTTTTTTAACCTTCATTTAAAACTGAAGTCAAACACATTTTGACATGTGTATCAAATATCAAAAAGGCTTTTACATATTCCAACCTTTCTAAGAATAAACTGAGAGATTGTGAGTACTCTGTGCTAACTGTAATTCAACTATTATTTCACAAGCATTTTTTACATTAAAATCAATTTGGAATCTCATGTTCTCCTGGTATTTCTAGTGTCCTTCTTAAGCAATGGCAGGCCTTAAGTAAATACTTCTTCATTTTCATGAAGAAATTTCGTGAATCAGAGATGGACACAGTACTCTATCATTCGTAGTTTCAAATATGAAGCTAAAAAGTTCTATAATTATTTAAGCATTTTAAATTTTATTTATTTATATTCCTAACTACATTAAAACTTAACTTCATTTTAACTGAATAGAAATGAAAAAAAGCTTATAATTCTCTATTGTAGAATTAGTTAGGTGATATATAAAGTGTATATAAAATAACTCAAAAACAAAACTTTCAAAAAAGGAAAAATTAAACAAATTTCAAAACAGGAAAAATTAAAATTGGAACTATGAACAGATACGATGTATTATTTTTTCAATTTTTATACTAATTACAACAGAACAGTTATGATGGTTGCAACATTTATGTAGCTTGATTTTCTTATATTAAAATTTTTTTTAATATTAAGAATAATTTCTATCAGTATCTAAATTCGATTCCTAAATTTTAAAAAGAGAAACATAGAAAAAATTACAAAAAAATAATTTTCATACCTGATCCATACAGTCTTGTTGCTTCTGAATGAGGAAACCGTTTCCGACTCAAATCAGGTGAAAAGTGTTGATACATGTAGAATGGGTTATACACATCATAGCTGGGTCCATGCTGGGATAGACCGGAAAGTTCTGCTTTTCGATCTCCAAAAGATGCCCGGGCAGAGCCTGAAAAGCAAGTGTTTCTAACACTTTACCACATTCTTTTCTTGGAGTTACTAGCACACAGGTGGCATATTCAAGACAAAGGAGAAATATTTTCTCAAGTAACATTAAATTATATGCCTTTGATATCTAAATAAAATCAACTTGCATTTATGGAATTCTTAACTGTGTAATGTATTATGTACAACATACAGACAAGAATCCTGCTCTTAAGACAGTCTGATAAATTGCTGGCACTTTTCTTTGCCCAAAGACAATTCTGTATTTTGTGATCTGAGTTTCCTCTTGCTTTTCTACTTACATACAGAACATCTTCTAAGTGAAAAGGAATATTTTGAGATACAAACCTTTCAAGAAGAAACAAAATATTTATAAACATAAATTTGACCATGTGCTGAGAAACACTGAGCATAACTTGGTGGCATTACTGGGATGTGATGGAAATCATAGGCATGGTCTAGTTGAAGTCGGTGGATATGGAAGCATGACATTGGGGTCTAAGTCCAGTCTCCACTCCTTCCTCTCTGGCTTTCTCATGCTCTCTTCTTCTTGGCTGCTATGAGGTGAGCAGATTCCCTCTACCACACCCTTCCACTCACATTTCTGCCTCATCACAGGCCTAAAAACAATACAGCCAGTAACTAGTAACTGAAACCTCTGAAACCATGAGCCAAATAAACCTTTCCTTCTTTGTTTTTCTCAAGTATGAAAAGCTAACACACTTGTATATTTTAAAACCTAACACAAATCATTTATTACACAGATACTGTTATAAAAGTCTGTTTACAATAACAAAAGTAACATTGATCATTAGAAGAAACCTCTCAAAAGTAGTAACAACACAATTCCCTATGAGGAATATAATCTTCCTGTATAAAAATGAATCAATAAAAATAAAAAGACAGCAGTGGCAACAGAGATGATTCACTATCTTTATAAGCTATACTCAAAAAAATACAGAATTCTCATTTCATTTTCCCTTTATCAAGTAAGTCACTAGAAGCTGGAGATACAGCTCGGTGGCACAGCATTTGCCTGGCCAGTGCAAGGTCATGAGTTTGTTTCCTGGCACTAAAAAAAAAAAAAAAAAAGTATTAAGTAAGTCACTATAAAATTCCAATTTTCCTCTCACACAGTACACTCTGATGTCATTTTTAAGGTTCAAGTAGAAATTCTCTCAATTAATAAATTATAGTTCTATAATACTGAATATAAATTTATGATCGCTTATAACTCACAAAAGCCATATTTAAAACTTGTAAAATCAAAATGCACACTGTTGATGAATAAGAAGGGAGACACAGGACAAAACAAGAACAAGAAATATAAATGGTAAGATCTGTTATTAAAGTTATAAGGTACAGCTATACAGATCAATCAGTAGTGAAACAAGCAACAAATTTCAAATACCGTACTTGAAACACAATCTTAAGTTAATACTGATAGTGGCCTATCTTCTCAAAATTTTCTTCTTTACCTCAGCCCATCACTCGTATATGCACACAAGCAAACATATATGTGATTTCTATGATTAGGTTCCATGAACACTTTTTTAAATTTAGTTTTCTTTCCAATAAATGAAAAATAGTTTTACTCTATCCTCAATCGTTCACTTATTCAACTCAAAATGCAACTGTTTTCTGTTGACTGCAACTTAAAACTGTCACACATTGCTAGGTAGATTTATCATTTTTCTTATTCAAATAATAATTAAAATATTCCATGTCTTATAACAGAAAATTTATTAAATAATGACAAAACATCCATATGCTGGAATATTATGGAGTCATAAGAAGTCATGAATATGAGAATATTTTCCTACTATATGATATAACAAAGAGTTTTCTTTTTTAAATCAGTACCAGGGATCAAACTCATGACTGCCTGCTTGCAAGGCAGGCACTTATGCCGCTGAGCTAAATCCCCAGCCCAACAAAAAGAGTTTATAAGACTACTTGTACAATTTAATCCTAATGTTGCTAACAAATATGAAAGAAAAAGATCAAATGATCAGGTATCCTTTTAAAAGAAATCACTTTTGAGAGATACGTGATATGTACCAAATAGGATAATAGGCAAGAATTGTATTCATTTTCCTTTTTTCAAAAAACAAAATGAAACAAAAACATCCCAGTCACTTCTATCAGATCCAACTCTCTTATAGATAATAATAAACTCTAGAGAAAAACCAAGATGAAACAAAAAGCCTGAAGAATAAAGATAAGTACTGGAGATTTTGGATAGGAATCGATTCTTTGAAAAAAGGAAACAGCACAAAGTAAGCTATCTGTTTGTGATGACTTTGAGTCTGAGTGTAGGCCAAAGATGACATTCTGTAGAATATAAAACATCTGTAAAAAGGCATGGTGACATACATCTGTAATCCCAGCACTCTGAGAGGCTGAGTCAGACCCAGTTCAACCCAGTCTGGGAAACCTAGTTCAAGTTCAAACCCAGTCTGGGAAACCTAGTAAGAACATGTTTCAAAATGAAAAGAAGAAAGAGAAGAGAAGAGGAGGGGAAGCAAGGGGAGGTAAGGGAAGTGAAGGGGAAGGAAGATAAGATGAAAAGAAAAAAGCAAAGCAGACATGGGAACATAGCTCAGTGAAAAGGGTTCTGGATTCAATTCCCAATTCCTCCAATGGGAAATTCACAGAAAACAAGAGAGCCGGACTCCAGGCAACCAAAGCTTCTGGAAAGAAAGGTGAGAGTCCTGGAGAAAGTCCCAACTTCTATGAAGTCTGCTCTGATATCTAACTGAACCCTAAACCAGTAGCCCAGGGCTTATACCTAAGAAGAATTGGTGGTCTAAACTGACCAAGTTACATATCTGGTGGAAGGGAACACAAGAGATATAGAGAGTGAAAAAGAAAAGAGAATTTCTCAGATTAATATGCCAAAATCTTCAGTCTCTACAACATGTAACACTCAATGTTCAGAATATAATCCAAATTATTCCATATATACAAAGAAACTGAAAGTCTCAAGAAAAAGATAATTCATAGACTCCAAATCTAGATGACTCAAATGTTGAAATGAGCAATGATTTTAAAGCTCAAAGACATAAAAAAGCTTACAATAATATAAAGTTAGGAAGTTGCAGAAGAGATGTAAAAACTATAAAAAGAACCAGATATAAATTCTAGAATTGAAAATGCAATGTCTAAAATAAAATATTCAGTGGATAGGTTTAACAGCATGATAAAAATAAAAGAAATGAAAATAAATTAGTACTATATAATCTAAAAAAGAGAAAGAAAAAAATAATTACAGGAAAACAAAACAGGAAAAGAATAGTCTGAGAGAGCCAAAAGAAGATAGACAGAAGAGAGCAGAAAAAAATATCGGGGACAATATCTTGTTCAGAGTATGGACTATATACTATTGTATATACTGTCAATATTAAATAAATACATTCTTGAAATTCAACAAATATATACAGAATTCAACAAATATCTACTTAGGCAACTCACTGTGTATAAGATTTATATCTATAAAGAAAATTCTGAACAGATCATTGAACTTCACAATGTGTTATACTGTGACCACATTTCATAATGTGATCTTTCAAGAATACTACATACTAAGTTCTTCTATATAGAAAGAGCAAAACATACAAAAAGCAAAATTTAAAGATTTTACATAAATTTTATACTAAGAATATAAAAGGGCAAAATAATAGCAACAGTATCATTTAAATGTTTCATGTTGGTTTGTAAACCCTGCCATTTTTTGTTTACCTTCAAGTTCTTCCAGATGTGAAGGTGTTCCTTGTGTTTTGGGCTGAATATAAGACAACCTAAACTTGGGTACCACAAATGGCACTTGTTTCCCATCAGATGGTAATTTGGAAAGCAAATAATCCTCACTACAGCCAATCTGAGACTTGACAGAAACAGAAGTCAATGGAGGTATAGATACAGTTGTATTTTGGGTAACTGTAGTTTTAAAGTCTCTTTCCATAGATACTGCATAAAAAAGAGAAAGGTAGAAAAAGGTCACAAATATGCATATTGATTACATATAATCTGAACTCAGAATACTTTAGTACTTATTCAATCATTTTGAACAAATTTTTGATAGATAAACTACTTTTGGGACCTAACAAGCACTTCTAGGGCCTATCTTAATGTTGGCTAGCCAAAGTTCGAGCAATTAATACATTATTGTCAAAGTACGCTCTTATATCATAATGATAAACACAGTTTTTAAAGTTCAATGATGTAAACAAATTTATTTTGTAGTTAACTTCACAATGGTTTCAAGTAAAAATCTAGTTATTTAAAAATATTATCAACAAAGAAATTCTTGTTAGTGCCAGTCATTAAAATGACTCTTAAATACATAAACCAATTCTGAGAAGCCAAAGCTCTCCAAGACTACAAATATCTCCACTGAACACAAGATAAAGTTTACTTTAGACATAAAATAGCAACTCTCCCTGCCTTAGCTTCTATAACCCAGAATTTATGGAATATTTTATGTAAAAAACAGCTTCTGCTGTGGATTGGATATGGTTCTGTTTAATCCCCATTGTGAGGCCTTAAAAGGGTAGAAACTTAATGAGTTTTTTTTTTTTTTTTTTTTTGGTCTTTTTCGTTTTTATTGGTACCAGGGATCGAACTCGCGACTGCCTGCTTGCAAGGCAGGCGCTTATGCCGCTGAGCTAAATCACCAGCCCCGAAACTTAATGAGTTTAGAAGTGGTGCCTTTGGGAAGTGATTAGGATTAGACAAGGTAAGCAAGTTGGAACCCCCATAATTGAATGCTAGTGCTTTTATAAGAGGGAGAGTGACCAGGATACACACACTCACTTCCTTTTACCCTGTGATGCCCTCTGTATTAGCTGGGAGACTGCCAATGAGAAGGCTTCATTAGATACAGCCCCTTGACCTTGGACCTCCACAACTATGAGCTAACAAAAACTTATTTTTGTTAAAACCTACCCAATCTACAATACCTAATGGCACTTTGTTACTAGTACCAGAAAAACAGATTAAAATACCTTTATACTCAAATGTACCAGGAAGCTCTGTTCTAGACTAAGAAATATAAAAGCCAGAGAAAAATAAAATTCTAGTCCTAACTGAAGAGATATGAAATCTCGCAGAAAAAAGGGAAATCTTCAAGGGTCCTTCGTAAATGTGGCTCTTAAAAAAGTTCTGAGTTTCTTTTCCACTGCACTGCTCATAAATAGGAAATTTTAAATATTAAAACATTTGTTAAGAGTATATTGTCCCTCAAAACACGCTTTTCTCCCTGCTGCTTCCTGTATCATTCCATCTACCTGTCATGTTCAGTTACACATTCTCTTACTACTCGTTCCTACTTAGCTTGCTAAATCCTGTCTGGATTGCCATAGCAAATGTCATCTTCTTGGATGACTAGGTATCTCCTAATTTGAATGTATCCCTCTTTCTGCTATGCTCCAGAGTAACTGGAGCTCTGGAATACTTAAGCAGTGTACCTTCTGTTTGTCTCCCCTACAAAATTAGAAAACATTCTGAATTTATCTCTGTATTACGAAATGCCAAAAAGAAGCCACTAAATAGATGTTTATTGAAATTAAAACAAAACTCACACTCTTGCTTTTCTGCTTGACCATAAAAACATCCTCTACAGCAACTCTTTATAAATTCTGCTGCCATTACATTCAACTTCGAATACTCAATAAAAGATACAAACTTTTAATTTTTATTATCAACCTGTTGATAGAATAGAAAGCAAGTTAAAATTATCATGTTACTAGATCACTTTTAATCATATTATCTATCTTTCTAAGACAATAATGAGCGATCTAAAGCAAAAATATTTAAGAAAAATTTTTGTTGTTATATATAATTTTGTATTATTTAGGATCTTTGTTATTTAAATGGCATGCTAAAAAAATCAGGAAAATAAATTATTCCTAGAGTAAACTCTGAAAGAAAGGAAAATCCCGTACAATTATCAATTTTCTCATACATAAAATACCTAAATCTATGCCCAAGAAAAGTCTGAAAGAATATGTAGCACTCACATGTATTATAAGAAAACTTTTACTTTGTTCAGATCAATTGTTTTATTAAACCAAAGTCCCCATAATTGGGGCAAAAAAACAAATAGTTGCATGCTTTATGAGTCCTTTTGATCCTTAGAATTACACTAACAAAAAAGTATATCTTGAACACCGTATCTCAAACACACCCACACACAAATAAGACATCATACAAAGAAAGATGTCTTTTACCTTTACAATCACCATAAAATTGTTTTAAGAATTTCATATCCAATTTTCATATTCAATTTTTGTTCTTAATTTCTTTATGTCAAATACATTCTCTTCATTTATGCCTACTTAAACTCCACATTTTTTTGTGGAGAATTTTAAACACATACAAAAGCATATAGGGCAACACAACCCACATTACCCAGATTAGACAAATTGCTAACTCATGGCAAATCTTATTTCATTTTTATCTTCTCACTTACCCTGTCTTTTAGTTTTTTTAAAAATAAATTCCATTCTTGTAATTTCATCCATAAACACTTAAGTAGTAATCTTTAAAAGATGCAGCAGGACTCAAGAGTTAACTTCAAGAGATTCTCACTGGTTAAAAGATACATGGATCACTTCAAGCATTAAAACTGTATCTGTAATAGATTACAACATACTAAGTATCTCTGAAAGGTGCTTTTTTTCCAAAAAGCATAATCACAATAGCATTATCATATAAAAAATTTAACATCAGCAACTACTGAATGTTCATGTTTTCTCTATGGCTTTAATTTTTAATAGTTGTTTTGTTGAAATCAAGATGAAAATTAGAACTATTTTATCTTTTTCTATCAGAAATAAAGCCACAGTAGTTCTATGCATAAATATTTCTCAGATATTTGTCAGTACATATCTGTATGATCTAGGGTTACTGGGTCAAAAAATACCTATGTATAAATTTGTATTAAGCTTCTCTCTTAAATGAAATCATTTTGCATTCCAAATAGCAATGCATGAGAACACTTGATTCTTTTTTAAAAAAATATATCTTTATTAGTAAATGTTTGCAGTACATAATGATTAAAGTCATCATGGGAAGTTGGTACATGTATGTAACACAGCTTAAGTTTTTGTATTTTCCTTTCCCCTTTTCCTTCCTGCTTTCTCTATCTCATATATTTCTTCCCATGAGAACAGTTGGTTCTGTTACCAAGAAAATGTCCAAAGGCTAGACTTTTGACAATGTGACAGGAAAGAAATGATTATCTTCTATCATTTTAATTTGCATCTCTCTTAAAGTAAGTGAGGTTGGGGACTCACAAGGTCATGGAAATAGCCTATGTTTATTCTATATTTCTTCCTGTGTGTTCTTTGCTGTGTATCTCTTCCTTGTCTTTTTATAAAACTGTTGGTCTTTTTCTTTTTCAATTTTAGATAAGTGGCAAACATTTTTCTACTTTGTCATTTGTCTTTTTACTTTATTATATTTCTGCTATGCAAAAATTATGAGTTCTCACATATATATACAAACATACACATACGTATAGTACATATTCATGCAGCTTGGGTATTCATTATCTGAAATGCTTGGGACTGTAAGTGTGCACAATTTTATTTTTTCAAATTTTGGAATATCTGCACATATATAATGAGACAATGAGATATCTTAAGGATAGAAACCAAGTCTACATATGAAATTAACTTGTGTTTCATATATACCTTACATACCTGGAAGGTTTCTTTTGGTGGTGGTGGGGCAAGATTGTTCTTGAATTAGTAACGATGATTGTATGATGCCATGAATATATGAAAAACCACTGAATTCTACAATTTAAAGTAGTGAATTTCATGTTGAATTATACCTTTAAAAATCATTTTATAAAAGGTATGATTACAGGAGATATATGGCCTCTTCATACAGTCCTATAACTGTGACACTGCAAAAGAAACCATCTTAGGGACTGGGATTTAGCTCAGTGATAGACCACTTGTCTAGCAAGCTGGAAGCTCTGGATTCGGTCCTTAGCACCAAAAACAAACAAACAAACAAACAAACAATCTAAAAAACAAGAAACCATCTTTTTAAAAGATAAACTACACAAAAAATCATTTTTAAGAATCACATCTTGAAATTGTTTTCAGACTACCAAGGTAATGGGAACTTTTCTCCTATGATCTATTTAGTAGTCACAACCTTCCAAGGACAGCGTCACCCCATTTTATTTTCCTTCAAGTTGTTTAAAGGTAAAGTGAGTTTTCACCCTTTTCATGACTAAATAGCCCTTTGAGATTCCAGAATTAGGGGCAGAACGCCTCTTGTTAGCTTCCCTTGAATGAGCCCTGGGCTGACTTCCAACTATCCTGAGAGCACAGAAAGCAAGCACAACTCCTATTCAACTCCACTAAGTTTCCTCAGTTTGGTAAATATCCTCAAAGCAAACAGGACTTAAGAGCTTCTTTACTCTGTCATATTTTCAGACTTCTCTTAAATTTTGGCATGGAATTATTTTTAAAATATCTATAATTGATTATTTTTTGGCTTTTTTTTTCAGTAAAAATGTTGCTCCAGTGCTTCTTTACTCAAAAAATGAAAATCTGACATTTACTTTTCAAATTAAAATTATCTCTCATAAATTAGATTTATGAAAACTAAAGACAGGTTGATAGTTCTATTGTACATCTGGATCTTATTTACTTTTCCAGCTTCTTACACTAGGGAGACAACACGATGTTTGGGAGTTTATTTTACTTATGAGTATGGTCTCAAGTTGCTTCCATTTCCCTATAAATATCTCAAATTTATCCTTATTTACAGCTGAGTAGTACTCCATTGTATAAAAATACCACATCTTTTAAATTAATTCCTCAGTTGGTGGGCATTTGTTTGCAACATTTTACTATTACAAATTGTGCTGCTATAAACAAGAGTGCACATATATCAGTGTGGTATGTTTTAATTATTCTAGGAAAATACTCCTAAGGGGAATAGCTGGGTGGAATGGAACCTCTAATTCTACTTTTTTGAGGACTCTCCTCACTGATTTCCACAGTGGTTATATTGGTCTGCACTCCCACCAACAGTGGAGAAGGGTTTTTTTTCCCCTCCAGCCCCTCCAGCATTTGTTACTGATTGATTTCTTGATGGTTGCCATTCATTCTGGGGTAAGATGGAATCTAAGTGTTGTTTTACTTTGCATTTCTCAAATGACCAATGATGTTGAACATTTTCTCATATATTTATTTGCTGTTTGTATTTATTTATCTGAGAAGTGTGTATTCATCTCACATGCCCATTTTTGGATTGAGTCTTTGAATGGGGGGTGGTCTGAGTTTTTAAAATTCTTTATCTGTTCCAGATAGAAGACCTTTGTCTGAGGAACAGTTGGATAAAGTTTTTTCCCACTCTGTGGGTTGTCTTTTCACATTGTTGGTAATTTTTTATAGATACTGTGAGATCCCAGTTATTGATTCTGTGAAGTACTTGCTGTGCAGTTTGTTTTTGTTCATAAACTCTCTGCCTACCTCTCCTTCTTCAAGATTTCCACCTACCTTCTTTTCCAGTAGATTTAGTGTTTCTGTGTATTTTTAAATTTTAAGGAGACTAAAACCCAACAATACAAAACAGAATAAAGCTAATCAAAACAAAGCACTAACAGTGGAACATAATTTCAAAACAGGACAATAGGTCATCAACATGGCTACCATAATATATCCTGTTATCTTCACAATAGTTGTCCATTTCCTCAGACATAGTAAAACTGAATAAAACAAAATAGAATAAAACCAATCAAAACAGGATAAAACAAAGCAATAAATGAATTTGATGTTGGCCAAGAAAAGACTTTAAAAAGGTGGTGGGAAGGTGGAAAGGAAGGGGAAAAAAACCAAATTGAGCTATGTTATATACATGTACCAATTCCCCATAATGAATGTAATTATTATGTACTGCAAACATGTAAATTAAAAAATTAATCTCAATCTGAGAAATCTAGATTTTTGTTTGTTTGAGTTTTCTTTTTTTGAGACAGGGTATTGTTATGTAGTTCAGGCTAGTCTTGAATTCACAATGATCTTCCTGCCTCAGCTGCCTGTGTGTTGGGATTACACACATACACCACCATGACCAGCTAAGAAGTTTAGTTTTAAAAGATGCATAAGTGGGTATCAGGTTCATTATACAACTAAAACAAGTAAGTCTATAGGATAAAGACATATGATACATATAAATAAAGACAGGAAAAAAACCCAAAATATTCAATAAATGTTGGGAAAAACTTATTACTCACATAGAAAAAGAAAGAAACTGAATTCCTACTTCACAAGACATAAAAACCAATTCTGTATGGATTAAGGACACAAATATGAAAGATATCATTTTAACAGATGCTTATTTGAGTAGTGTTAGGCTCATAGCAAAGTTGAAAAACTACAGGTAGTTCCTATATATCCCTAAGGAAAACAACAGTTTAAAACTTTTTTTTTTTTTTACCATTTTAAAGCTTTTAACCGAAAATATCAGCTTATACTTCTGTGATCTCAGGGCAAAGAAAGATTTGCTAACAAGATGCCAAAAGTACAAGTCATGCATGATAGATATAATGATTATCTACTGCAAACATGTACTAATAAAAAATAAATATTAAAAAAGAAGAAAAACAAAGTACAAGTCATAAAAAAGTTGACATAGTTACATTATAGAATAGGATGTATTCTTTATGACACTATAAAGAAAGTAAAAGACAGGCTGACTACTGAAAAGATATTCGCCACATGCATAACTTACAAGGGATTCATTTCTGGAGTATATAAGGAACTTCCAGAAATTAATTTTTAAAGACAAAAATAAATAAAAAATAGGTAAAAAGATTTAAACAGGCATCCTTCAGAACAGGAACTATGAAAGGTTTCACATCATCAATAATTAAAGAAATCCAAATTAAATTGTCAGGCTACCATTCCATTTATCAAAAATCAAAAATTTGGTAACACACATACAAATGTCTCATATGTCGACAAGAAAAGAACAGAATGAATACTTACTGCTTGTAAAGGTATAAACTGGTATAACCACTTTATAAAACAATTCAGTGTTACCTAACAAAACTGAAGACCCACAATTCTGTTCCTAGATTTAAAGTACTAGGAAATTCTTGGACATAGATATAAAGAAACATGGACTGGCATGATCATAACAAAATAGCTTTTAATTGCAAAATGTAAACATTTTTAAAAAGCTTGAAAATACCTTAAATATCCATTAACAAGATGATAAAGTGTGGTAAGAGTCACAGAATGATTCGTAGCAATAAAAATTTCCACATCAGTGTGGAAGAACATAACAAATATAATGTGTAAAAGAGCCATATGGTATACTTTTATTTATAAAGCAATATATTCAGTTGCTTCTTGGTGCCTGCTAGTTAACTATAAGACAGTAATAATGCTATAGGAGAGGAATAATGATACACTTTAACATACAGCTATTCTACAATCTGTATTCTTTTCCATCTGACTCCTAATAACCATGCTGTTGTTTTTCCTATTCTTTGCTTCTCAAAATACAGATTTTCCACTCACTATCTTTACTTCTTTATCCTCTATTATTAAAATCATTGCTTTCTATCTTTACCATTCCACTTAAGTTTGCTGAGGTCAATGCTTGTCTCCTAATTACCAAAGCCAACTTGATCAGTTCCTAACCTCCCAACCCTTCTGACTCATGTGATTCCTGGACAGACTTCTGTCCTCTCCAGAGTTCTAGGGCCTCCCTCTCTCTTAGCCTCCCTCTTTCCTGAATGCTCCTCCTCAGTCCTTGACAGTCTTTACACACCATATAAACATTATTTTCCCATATTTGATCTTCCTCTTCTTATTCTACATTTCTTTGAATGAGTTTTTACACTCTTGCAGCACTAACTACCACAAATCCACTGCTGTCTCCAACGTCCATAACTCTGAACCTGACTTCAGAAAAAAACCTTAAAGCAATAATCTGGGAACTAGATAGCTCTGCCAGATGTCGTATAAGAATCTCAAACTGATTTTCTTTCAACCTGAATTAATCCCTCAATTTATTAGTTTTGTTTATAAATGCACAATTATAATTCAAGCGAAGCAAGTAAATTTTAAGACATTTTAAAAACATTTTTTCTTGGAAGGTTAAAAAAAATTTTATTACGCTTTCTCCCCTGCTATAAAGCGAATTCACGGTCGTTAGCAAAAACTACAAAAACACAAGCGATGATAAAAAGCAAATCCTTTCAAGTCTGAGCTCTCAAAGGCAAGTAAGTGTTAACATTTCTAGAAAAAGAACCAAAATCTTACACACAAAATATTAAACCGGTAAATACCATTTTCTTAATTATCGATATTTTCTAGGCTTTTTCTTTACATTATTGAGAAGCCTATTGAGAGTTGCCTACCTGCAGTGTGAATCAGAATATTTTAATTACAAAATCAACCCGTGGCTTATTATAAGTATTCTAAAAGAGTCAACGGCTTGGCATCTTACGTCTACTTTATCCAGATGTTACAGGGTGTAATATACTATACAGAAAGTACCTTTCTGTACTTTTAAGAAACCATAGCAGAGAAAAGAAGAAAATGGAGAGGTGGAAGTCAAATCTAAAATCTACTTGGTCCCTATGATGAATATAGTCATTCTGTGCTGCAAATACGTACTGTACTAAACTAACAACGTAAAAATAAAGATTTATTTTTTAAAAAACTGGGTAGACTGCAGTTTGCAAAAACCAAAGGAAGTGATAGTTTAAGCGCCCTCCGTTGCTAAAGTTTCTGAAACATCGCAGATGAACCCCTCAGCTGAGCTGCTCTCCCCAGACCCAGCGCCCGGTGTCGCAGGCGCGGACCGGGACAGCGAGCAGGGCGCGCGGCGTCCGACGCGGCTGGGTCCCCCCTTCTTGGGGCGGGGGTGCCCCCTTCTCCGGACCAAAGCCCCACGGAGCCGACCACCCAGCTGCCCGGCAATCCGCACCGCCCACCTCCGCTCGGCCGCGAGCCTCGGCCCCCAAACCTCCCTCAGGCCTCCGCGAGGCCGGCGTCGTGAGGGGACCCGGAATCAGGCCCGGGAGCCCGGCCACCGCGACAAGAACAAGAGAAAGTTAAAGGAGACCAAAGGAGCCGTCCGCAACGTGGCTGCGCACGCCGGTCTCACAGGGCCGCTCCCACGCGCGCCCACACCCGCGGGCCCGTCCCGGAGGACGACGCCGGCCGCTGTCGAGGCCGAGCGCTCGCCGGGAGGAGCGCACCTGCGCCGCGCCCGCCACCGCCTCAGCCGCGCTGAGGCGACCCAGCCACCGCTTACCTGCCCCCGGCACTGGGCGCTGTGCCTTCCCCCTGGGGAGGTCGTCGGTCCCAGCCCGCACCTAGCGCGGCCGCGCCCCAGGATCCGCCCCTCAGGGACGCCCGCTCCCTCAGGTACCCTCCTCCCGCGGCGGCGCTTTCAAGCCCTTCCCACGTAAGCCCCGCCCCGCCCCGACGCCCCGCCCCCTCCCAGGCCTGCCCCGCCCCTTCCCAGGCCTGCCCGGCTCTCACCAGGTCTGTTTTGCCCCAACTCCTCTGCTCCTTATTACTTTGGAGCTAGGCCCTACAGTAGAAAGCATACAGAAGGAAAGTGATTGACTTGAACTTGTTTGAACTGTAAAATGAGGATGATAGCACGTACAGAGAAGCCTTTCTTGTAAGAGATAATCCTGCAATTTTTTCTTAGAAGCGGAGAAGTTGCCTTGTGTTGCCACTTTTAGAGTTTTTATTAAAGGTTTCATGCAGTCTTTGACATCAACCAGCTCCTCTTCACTTTTGTTGCTTTTTGTCAGCTACTGCCTTGCCACCAGTGGGCAGGAATATTAAGCGTATCCACGACAACGCCTTGCATCTTCTATCTATGCTGGAATCTTCTCTAACTCGGGCGACAGGGTTGGCTGGCCCTATTTTTTATGAGTTTCTATATTATCTGATAATACTTGATTCCATTTTTGAGAGGATTAATAAGTAAGTTCTGATCATCTCAAGGCCCCAGAGATGTTGGAGTAGGGGTAGGGGTTGGTCTCAAAAATCACATTAATTCGGGGAAAAAGATACAGTATACTTACTTGCTTTCCTTAAGAGTTATGGTTCACATTAGCATCTTTCATGGCCGAGAGCCATGTTTTACTTGGCCTAATCCTTCATTTCCCAAATTTGACCACAGAACTCTCTAAGAAATACCTGTTACCGTTCTTGGGCATTAATATTTCAGCGTATTTGGATGAACACTTCTTGAAAGTCCTACTTTTAGCAATTAACTTAGTAATTAATTAGTAATTAGTAATAAATTAGTAATTAATTAGTGATTAATTTAGTAAATATTCACTTTTAGTAATTAACCACCATTGTTTGCAAAATTCTGTATTTTTATTTACACAAAGATTTCAAGAGTTGTTTCATTTAAACCTGGCAATTTTGATGTACATTTATCACCTTCATTTCACAATTAAAAAAGAAAAGGGTCAAACATCAAGTAGTCCACAATGTAGAATCAAGATGTGAATCTGGACTTTGGACTGCAAAGCTTCTGAGAGAGTTATATGTGTTGAGTACTGTGCTTTGTGGTGTGTGCGCACGCAAATATTTATTGAATGAATAAAAACAATCTTCAATAGAACATGAATTCCTAGAGTGCTTGTGGAATAATTTCAAAATATAAATGAGCATGTGAATACAATGGGAGTGGTAGACAGATGTCTGCTTCCCTCCAAGTTATTTCCTTTCCATTTTGTGCCTTAGCAGTCATAAAAGTGGAGTCTTCCTATACGTATCCATTCATTTATTCATTCACTTGTCCAGCAAACAACTTTGAGAGCTTGTAGTATATCAGGTGCTGTTTCAGATACTTGTTCTGAAGAGAAAGTAGCATTCCAACAGTGTCATAGTTGTATGTCAAACATTAAGTTCTCTTTCTGGGCACTAAGTTGAACTGCTTCTCTCCATTGACTTTGTATCCAAGTGAGGCCATAAAATCAGCAGAATTTTAGCAGAAGTACATTTTTACTTATGGATCTAGAGCATGGGAACTTCACTTTCTCCCTTTTCTCATTCCTTGACAACCTTGGAACAGTCCTGAACCATGCTGGCCATTTCTTCCCCTATGAAGGAAGTCTTTGTTCTGAAGTGACTTCATGGAACAAAGAGCTTCCCTTTGCCCACTCACTTCAACTGGGTTGTGAAGTAAGGAAAAGAAATCTTACTGTATTAAATCACTAGTATGTGGGGAATTTTTTTCTAGTAGGAAGCTAGCTTTACTTACTTTGATTAACACTGTTAAAGGATGACATACAGGTTACATAAAACATACCAAAAACGTTGTCTCTTGCTCTAGGCATTGTAGGGGAAACATGGAATATAAAAATTTATCAAAGGTGATAGTACAGTCATAGAAATATTGTTTATCTCGAGTGAATAAAAACATCTTTATAGATACATAGGCCTTTGTTCTTTCTTAGGTGATAACCTGATATGATTGCTGACATCTTCACCAAAAAGGCACCATCAAGTTATCACCACATCACTTTTATTAGCCTTCTCGGTTTCTCATGAACAGTAAAGGATTTCCCTGAATAGGCTTTAGGAGACTCAGGGATATTCGAAGTCTTTGACCTTCTATCTTGCTCTTCTTCCCAACAGCTGTCCCTGCTGTCCACCAGGGGCATCAAAGCTTGATCAAAGACGTCCAGAATATTTCTGCAACTTCCCTTTGGGTACTGCTCCAGCACCTAGATGTGATTGGCTTCCTAGATTTGCTGCAAGTTCTGACCTCACAAGTCCACCTGTACAAAGCATCAGGAGGACTGTCTAATGACTTTGGCCCATTAATCCCACTTTCAGATTTCTATGTCACAATTCTGTAAGATATCATTCCTAGATTAATACTATTTTGGTGGTTCTACTTTCCCGACTAAAACATGATCCATGGGTTTAGTTGTCCAACTGGAAGATTATGTGGCTTGTCCTATCTTCCCTTCCACTGTTAAAGGAAAAATACTGGGGTTATATGTTGTAAATAATAAATTTGGGCAAAAAAATTACATCATGATGGAGAGTTCCCCAAGAGAGGCAGATGACTGGCTTCCTATTGCCTCACCAAGATAGAGCTTATCATAGTAGAACTGATTTTCAGTTTTCCCAGCTAAGAAACTTGTTTCTTCCCACTTCAGCATACTAAGTAAATATCTCTTGTGAAGAAAGCTCTGTCAGGTTCATTAAAAGAGACAACAAGATGCCTGTGTATTGATATAGAATGAGAAATAGAATTGTGGTAGTACCTAGACATTTGCATCTTATGACCAGAGCAGGAAGTTAAATGATAATTAAAAGATTGCCTAGGGAGAGATATAGAATCCAAATGAGGACAACTAAGAGCAACATTGAGCATCAATTTCATGAGTTCTCATCAACATCAAAGAGGAGGCTGATCTGTCATAGGTGTGGATTATGCCTTCACTCGCTGGAGGCATAATCCTGGTCATAAACTTTCCATGCAGTAGATTATGGTGTTGGCATGTTTATTTTTGTCCTACACAATATCCATGCCCTTTTCCATGACTGTAGTTCATTATACTTAGAGGGGAGGAAAAGGAGGAATAGGAAAATGTAATGGAATAGGAAGAGGAAGAGGAGGAAGAGGAGAAAGAGGAGGAGGAGCAGGAGCAGCAGCAACAACAACAGCAGGCCTGCCTTCTTTCTGTCCCTTTATATTCCATGCAGGCTACAAGCCTATTGATTAGTGCCACTCACATCCAGGTTGGAGCTTCCATGATCTATACTCTTAATCCCAGTATCATACCCTTAATCCACATTCACATACCCTAATTCAGCCATTTTTGAAACTCCTACCTATGACTGTATGAGGCTTTGGAGGGACATCTAGATATAAGCCACAACACATGGAATTCGGGGATTGTTTGCTACCCAGCAATAGCTCCCTGACATATCCTCTAACTCTGATTTTCTGGGACGTGATAAAACAGGTACTGCTACTCCACTGTGCTACCAGAGTTTCAGGCCTGTGTGTCTAGACTCCCAAATGACTAAAAAGCATCAACTGGGCCAAGTTAAAGGAATCAGCTTTTTTTCCTCAGTAAAACTGATATTTTCTGTCCTTTAGGTTAAATATTAAAATCTAAATATTTGTCGCAGAAGAGGAAAGATTTAAAAACTCTTCATAAGGCTACTTCTGAATATTGATTGTGTCTAAAAATTTGAAATAAAATGTGAAAAAATGACCATTTGTAATTTTTGCTTTCAGCAGTTTTAGGAAAACTCATAGGCCCAGCAAGATCTCCAGGCAGCTGAGGATGCCAAGGCTTTCTTTCTGGTACTTTAAATCTGTTCCAAGTCCATAAGGAGAATTCATGAATAAATGTAGTTGTTAGATGAACAAAAGATACAAAGGTAATTTTTTAAAAGACATTCTTGCACTTTTAGCCTGTTAGATCAAAGTATACATTGGTCTCTACATAAATTAGAAGTTTTGGGGAGGGGGACCTCAAAATGCTTTATAATCCAATTTTTTTTAGACGTTCCTTCTTTCTCCCAGCCTTTCACCAGCTTCCTCTACTCTCTTGGCTTATGTAGGCACTGATGCTGTTGGGACAGTTTTGAGGAAATATAGGAGATCTGTAATCTATTTCTTACTTGATGTCAGTTACATACACCAGAAGAAATAAACAATGCAAACTCATTTTAAAACAACTGGGCAGCAACCCCATCAAGTGGCTTATGCAGAGCATATTGCCATGCGAGGTGACAGCACTCAAGGGACCAGACAGGGTCTTGTGAAGTTTACCCTTCCATTCCTGAAAAACATCCCTTTAGGAAGTAATTTGGCCTTTCCAGCAAAACATGAACTTGCTTGGCAGTTTGACTAACTCATCACCCCTGTTTCTCTCGTACTGCATGCCTGATTAATAACAATAATTCTTCTGAGAACATTAGTGAATACAACTTTGATAGCAAAGGGGTAAGGGGAGCCAAACAACATCCTTGCCAAACGAATACGCATGTACACACGCCCACACGCAAGTTTTAAAATATTGGGAAATACAAAATACTTCAGTCAAAGCCACTTTACGTAACTGAAAAGAGGGTTGAAGATTATTTCCCTTCATCCATCCAAATTTGTATATGAACATAACTTTAAAATATTGATAGTTGG